CACTGGTATGAGTCCTGAAGGAACGTCCAATCTTGTATCGAGAAGAATACAACCGGCAACCACCGTGAGAGTCGCATATGTCAAAACTCCTGCTATTTGAGACCAAGAACGGAAAAATTAATCATCTAATCATCTGTACGAATACAGTCATGATCTTTAGGAAGTTGGTCATGCTTTAAGAAAGACAGAGCGTCGCAGTAGCGGAGTTCAAGCCAGGCGACCGTGCGTGCTTATAGGCATAAAAGAGCAATATAGTTGCCAAAGTGACGAAGCTGACATAAGAAGAACCCAGATCGACATATTTCTCGATTGGTCGCTTGTGCGCTCAAACTTTTTTCATTCCATCAAGGGAGGCAAAATTGAAGAATTATGCTTTATTTTTGAGACTACTAATTGCCGCGACGGATTTCGAATGGCGGTACTGCATACAATCTTCATTAAGATCCCAGACAAGGTGCGACTTGCACCGTAACCTTCCGTACGCTTTATATCTCTCCGTTTTGCATCTAATGCTGAGTACAACTTTCTGCCGCGAGGGCTTGCTGGATTACTTATAAATAGTACACCATCCGAAATATTATTTAAAATACTGCTTGTATTTTATATAGGGAAGGTGAAAGTTTAACGTGTGCGTCATATGTGATGGACCTCAGCCACATTGAGAAAGAAGGGATACATCAAGAGACATCAAGATTGTTGTGCAGTTCCACTGTACCTACAGATGTTCAATCTGTAGGAATACCGAACATCTGCGCTTTGTGCGCGACACGAGCACCAAAAGGTCGCTACGCCAGCGCTGTTTGTCCCCACAGGACAGCACTCCTCGGGTTGATCGACTGTGCTTAGCACAGCAGCGTTTGATAAACTCCGTGCCCCTCATGAAAGATGCTTGTTCTTTGGGCACTGATAACTGATGAGAGTTTCGGGATTAGATTTGCGCACTATCACCCGTCACAAGGCTTTTCAAGTCGAGCAAAACGGATATCCAACTTATGCATCGACTACTGCATGACTTGGCAAAGTGCAGATCACGATGCGGTCACTGGGATAACGCATCATCTCCTCTATTTCTGCCGTTTACAGCTTCCGAGCAAACCTCAGACTTAGAACAACATGAATTTCTAAAAGAAGCGCGCTGCAACAGTTGGCCCTGCCTTTTCTGCAAATTATACAATATTTGAGGGTGTGTCTGTTGGAAAGAGGTCATAGCACCAGTATTCTTCGAGCCGAAGGAGCCTCAAACTCCCATGCGATGAGGTACCCTCTCACTTCACCAGGCAACTTCAATATTCCTGGTGTGACTGCCAGCCTAGTATACGTATCACTTGAAAGATGACCATCCATACTCAAGGGCAGGATCGGCAGATGCCACCCCTCCCGCGGACAGCACTTGTGTACTCTCTCGGCTGATGGTACGTCGATTATCTCCGAATCTTGGCAAGCGCTCAAACTGAGATAATCCAGATTATAAAGTGTTCTCCGAGCGCCATCATCGCACTGTGTGGCTTGACGTTTAATACCGCGTCCCTGCGCAAGAGCATTGGGTACATCAGCAACAGGAGACGTGCTTCTTCTATAACGAAACGCTTTGCATCAGACTGGCTTAAAACTCAAATCAACTTAATACCGTTTTTAAACAAACATGAATGATCCAAATGTAGCGTGGTCGCAACATAGTCTTTTAGACTGAACAAACTGCTTGTTGAGAAAACTGGATACATTTGATAAAGCTTTTCACCCCGCTGTATAATCGCGTGTGGTTACCTGCTTAGGGCATTGAAATACCGCTTTTAGAGACTCTGGCTCTAAGCGATGGAGTCACGCACCCTTCGATGGTAGCCGGCTGATATCAGCAAGTAGAACTAAATCATTAGATCTCTTTTTCTGAGGATGCTCATTCCGACTATTGATCATCGCATATAAGATGGTGACGTCGCAACATACGGATGAGATGCAAGATGTGCTGCATTGCTGTAAGCGATGAGAATTAACGAAACTATGAATTTAGATATTGTTTTATCGCAGCACGCCGTTGCGCGTATACACCGCTATATAGGTCTGCCGTATTACGGCGCTAATCGACTTTTTACTTACCGTGTAGCGGTACCTTATGATGTTTGAACTTTAATTTGGTATTTCGATAGAAGCCCGGTAAAACCGTTTATTGTATCATTTGAGCAAGTTAGGCTCAATTTGCTGCAGTTGGTAAAATCGCAACTGGGACAGTTTTACCTTGCTGTCCTCGACAAAGGGTTTACCTAGCATGTTTTGCTGGCAGTCATCGCAGCGAAGAATGATCCGTGCTTCTCAAAGAAGCTTTCAAAAAGAGCTTGCTCAAGATGCTAGGTACCAGATAGGACTTGTTAATCTTTAACCATCTGTATGCTGATAGTAATAAAAGACGCATTGATTGCGTGGTGGAGAAATATTTTTTGGAGCACTTGGGCGGAGATGCCGCGGTGTCGGAACGATTTATTACTACTCATTGAGTTTGCGCTGAATATTTGGTGAGGTTTCAAGGGCCTTTGCACCACGCGCTAAGTGGTTTTAGCCTCACTAAAATAAGTCAACTAGGCTGATAACTTACCTCAAATTTAATCTCGTTTAAAATGTATAACAATCTTTTTGTTGTCTGATAGTGTTGATTACGTTGCTGTACGCATCGATGTACAGTTCAGAAATGCCTTCGAGCCAACCAGGTATATCCTGAACTTTACTACGGATTACTTGGATACGCGTGGCTCCTTATTTCGACAGGACTGCCGCTTTTTGCTGGAGACTCAAGCGCAATGATGCCGTTATGATCGGCATCTGCTAAGATTAAAACACATCCTATGAAAAAACCTGAAGCGTTGCAGAATTTATCTGGTTTCGGAAGTGCAAACGTTGAGCAGGCATGAGGCTATCTTTACTGCTTTCAAGGCCATCCCTTCCGCCAAACATCAGCACCACTTCAAATCCATCTATAGGGAATTATACGAGGGCCCTGTCATGTCGACATAGTTTGCAATGGATTTGTGCTAGAAAGTTGGCTGGTCAAGCAGCTTTCTAAAATAGTTATTAATGAAAAAAACTGTTTATCAAAAATTGCTTTGGTCGTTGCAATTTTTGATAAACAGTTAAACTGCTTGCATAACGTAAATACCAGAACAGCTACCTAGAATAGTGATTTCGTCGGCACCAACGCGCTTTCGTCGATATTAGTAAATGTTTAATCAGGTGTATAAACTCGAGCACTGCTCACAAGTGTTAAGTGGGGCTCTCACATCCTACTTCGCGTACTCTGCACAATTAGGAAGGGATATGTTGCCGAAATAGGCCTGTGCACACGATAAGGCCTGTACCGCTTTGTCTGGTCTGGTCGACACTATGGCTTATTTTTTCACTTTTGGGCAGCAATATTGGAGTACACATGGAAGTGAGAGAGGTATCGCCGTTTCTCATCAGCAATTGATGATGACCACCGATTCGGTCGGAGGCGCAGAATAAGTGCAACCGATCTTGCTGATTAACAGATCATTCTTTTTTAGGAGTTGGTGCTCGCATCATAGTTATTGCTACATCTAGCTTATCGTAAATTTACCACCAATGTCTGTCTGAAACACAAAGCTGGCAACGGATGGGGAAATATTTTTTTTATTATTTCACTACATTCGCTGCATGCCTTTTTACAGAAGAATGTTTCAATGAGACCACACTGTTTGTTCAAGTAATGAGCATGGCAGAGTGCCGCAATACCTGATCTTGACCACTCAAAGTTTACGACGATCGTTTTTATTCGGGGGCACCACGCATGGACGGTCTTTCCGCACCATAGCGTATAATACCATCAGCAGAAGAAGAATTCTTAGAATCCTTGAAAATGACTTTCCCGATTCATACACTTAGAGCTTTGCAAGTGTCCCCAATGACATATTTATCCAGGACGGAGAGATAGCTTGGCTTCTTCGTTTTGGTCTTGCTATTTCTCGCACGAATCTCATTAGGATAAATATTACGATTCATCCGGCTTAACGGGGACTTGTGCTGCAGATAGTGAGAGAAACTTATAACCGCTAGAACTATTCAGGCTACTGTATTCACGAGTAACCACGCTTCCTCACCGCTTATATGCTGAGATCTGCTACTCCCCGCGATGAGCAAGCCACACGTTAGTGTTGACTATGCAATCCTACTCCATCATGACAAAGCGTGAGTTACTGCGCTTACTTTTATATCGTGGCTGTTCTATCCGCGCTTTGAGTTGATGTCAAGCTCCACCGATACTCCCACTCCGGATTTTATAGGCGTGGACTCTCAGCGTCAGGGGCTCGTGGTGAGTCCTTCACCGGCTCCTGGTCGTGGCGCTTCTGAACGTGACTCGCCAGCGCATATCCGACGATGATGGGCGCCTGCAGGTGAATGATGAACGATTTTAATCCGTTGCCGTTTCACTGGTCCCATTCTAAAAAAAACACGAAAAGCACGTCGAGCTGATGTTCATGTCCTGAAGACAGAAATTCGAGAATATCATGTTTCATCCCCACCGTAACAACCGTCTTTCAAAGCTCGAATTGTACCTGACTACGAGCAATAGAAGTGTAACGAAGACGCCGTGTACTTTGCACAGAAGTTGGAAAATAATTTGCTTTGTGAAGTGTGTGTAAATGAACGTACAGAGTTTAGGATCCCTCGCTCCTAGCGGAACTGAGAATCTCGAAAGTAGCTAACACTGTAGGTATGATTCGCTTTTTCAAAAGTACAAACATAATAATTCTATTTCGAGCTTTATTAAGTATGTATATCAGAAGATCTCTTACGTTTCTAAAGAGCGGCTAGCAGCTCATGTGTATTTTCGACCCCTCGTCTTCGGAAATTGTCATATATATCGATACTCCGCTACTTATGAATACTAGCATTTACGCCAAGTGCAATGCTTACCTGAAAAATGTATCGCATTGCTGCCAACAAAATTTGTCAAAAGTGTAAGGATTGAGTACATGCCCAGATAAACTATGAGTCTATAAGAGGTCCATGAGGCATGGGGGCATCTAGCACGTCAAGTAGTAACTCGAATGCATAAGACTTCTACGCTAGCTCTCGGGTGATGCAGACGCACACAAATTCCGTGCATAATTTACCGCGGACTTTTGCGCCAAAGGCTTCGTCTGCGCGATGTGTATACCAATTCTTTGCAGCACTTGTACCGTGACCGAGTCGAACACGGACTGTGGAAACTTGACATCTCATGCTTGAAATATCTGTCCTTCAGATAATTAGGATGGTTGATAAGCTTATATTTAATGTTGGTCACAATGGGATCGGGAAAGCAGAGGTCAAAGGATACTCATTTGAGGCCGTTTGCCGGCTATGAAAATTTATGGTATGACACCTTCAGGAATGCCCAAGCCGGTCATAAGTGGGGAGCAAATGACACCCGCCGAAAGGCCGCTAGTGTATTTCCAGGCGGAACAGAGAAATCTATCTCTACGAATGTTGTGCTAGTCATAAATTCAGCCATGCGCTAAACGGAGCAATAACTTGTCGTGCAAAATAATGGACAACATCTTTTTCAGAAAGATGCTTTCAGCATGAAAAGTGATAAATCTGCGCTTTTCTCCTGGTGAAGCATTGGCGAGTCATTTGTCAAAAATTAAAAGCACTTCTGGCGCAATCATGGCGCTGCGATTACTTCCATGCAGGACACTAATCTGTCCAGATTGATGGCGATAAACTTTCCAAGGGGCCAAGCGTAGACCTCGGGAAGCAGAAGCGGCAGTATTCCGATTTCTCAGGATGAAATGTGAAGAGTGATAAAAAAATCACGGTCTCTCGCGTGTGTTTCTACTATGATGGAAAAGACGGCTGTATTTGAAGTGTACGTCTAGTAGAACGATATAGAGCAGTCGTGGGCTGTTAGGTCCTGTGTCAGAACTGGTGAAGAGTGAATGTCAACCGTATATCGCGTGTAGAGAAGTTGACCCAGATGATTTTTCTCGTCGCGATGCATGAATTCTGCTGAGTCAGCAATAGTACGGACCAGCAAAGCTCCACAAGTAAGTGTACGGGAATTGTTCGCTCATAATAAAAGCGACTGGAATAGTCCTAAGGGTTTAAAGTCTCTCCTCACCACCTCAGGCAAAATACCTTATAGAGCTGCAACATTATCCATTGATACATGTTGTGAGACGGTGTGGTCACCGAAACAACATGGTTAGTACCAGAGAAATGGTCACACGCCATTCGAAATAAACAAATCTGTCATTAAAGATACTCGCAAAGCCCTAAGTGCGAGAAATGAAATCGCTCTCCTCAAGGATCATAAGGATCTTTTTGATTCTCTATAATGAAGGATAATTGTGATGGTTGATATAATTTGCGAGATACCTAAAGGGAGTTTAAGAAATTGCCTTGATCCCTGGAGCCAAATGTTGCGTCAGCGGCAATGGCCCGTACCAAGCAAACAACATGACGTCATCTACGACTTTTCGAAGCGAAGCAAGTGTGGCAATATACTTTTTTGTCGCTTCATAGCGCGGTGAACTCTAGCCGCAACAGATATTATCACAAACCAAATTATGGATTTTTTAAATATATATTGGTATATCAAAAGTTCTATTACTTAAAATATATTCTTAAGCAATCTTTATAAATTCGTTAGAAAATTTTTATTTTCTAATAAGATCAACTCCATTTCCATTCGCAGAATCTCGCTCAATTGGAACTGCTTCTCAACGAGGCTCGCGTGTTCGCTAGACACTGCAACTTAATTTGTTGGAAGCAAACGACTTCCACGCTCAACGAGCCCTGTGTCAACGACACTGAAGTCACCAAGTCTCGCTGGTTCTGACAGCGAACGCGGGTAGTGCCTAACTTCGTCTCTTGCTCGCGGTGCAATGTTGAACAGTGCGTCCGCGGCATCGAGGGATATCCATTCTAGGCTCGATGAGCACAAGCGTCGCGTTTTGCGAGCGCTATCAATTACGAGTGACCTCGTTGAAGATATGGAGGTGGTCGACTACGAGTCTGACACCCCTTTCCCAAACGGGATGGCGAGGAAGGCGAGCTGCGCCAGCGGCGTGATACGAGCCCTGCTCGCGCCTTGCGGACCCCATGCCCGTTTCCTGACTCCTCATCAACCGAGGAACGTGGTGCAATCACCAATGACTTCGACAGGGAACAGAGGCGGCAGCTTGAAGTTGCCCTAAGGCCGCTCTGAAGCGCGCCCATCCATGGCCGGTCATTGACCCTCGTGTGACATATGGCTTCCGCCCAGCGGATCCCGCTGTGGAAGCGAAGGACGCGGTATCTCGATTGTTACGCGTCCGCATCATCGGGCCCCGGCCAAAACGAAGGATGAACTTGCCACACGAAAACCTCTTCGAGCTCGTTTTTTGGTTCCACAAGAATTTCCGCTGGAAGCTTATCGCACTCGTCTGAGTGCTTAACGCGGTGGCTCTCGTGTACCCGCAATGCGGACAATACCTGTAGTCCTTGGCCCTGGCGAAAGCGCTACATATGACATAGCGATCTTTGAGCGATGGGTGCAACGGCACCGAAAACTTTCCTCACTGTACAACCTATAGTTGAGCCACAACGAAGTGGACGTGCGTGTGAAGCGACACCTCCGATTTGATTTTGCCACACTCAAAGCACGCCGTCAACTTTCTTCGGATTGTCGCCCTGCGCTGTATAGGTTAACTTTTAACGCTCCCGCGAGCTCTGTGTCTGCGACTGTAAGAGCTCAGGGCTACTGCTTGAGCACATTTCATGGCCCTTCTACTTCCCTGGCTATTACCGGGAAGCGCGGGCCTCTGATGACCCGGGACGTCGTGATCTTTTCGACCAAAAGCGTCCACGGCAACCGGGCCATCTTGCCGAAGTGGCGCCTCAAACTCCCACGAGTTCTCGGAGACGGGTATCCCCACCACTTCACCAGATATTGGGTTTGACCCTGGTGACGACGTCGTCTCACTAGACGTGACAGTGGACGTCACCGTTCTCATCGAGAAGAGTCGGTGGCGGGCGGTGACGAC